GACATCAAAACAAATGACTGAAAAAACAAATGTTAATCATGTATTTGAATTTTTTTAACATATATAAAATATTTTTCGTGATGTAAAAGAAAATTGTACAAGGTGTAGGGAAAATGTATACCTGTGTTGAAAAAAAGAAGGAAAACCAAATAAAAAACCATAGAGAAATCGATGAAAAAAGAAATAATAAACAGAAAAAGGAAAAAAAATAAAGAAAATTCAAAAAGGAAAAAAGATTCATCAGTGAAAAAACTAATAGAAAAACCACAGGGATAAAATTCATGCGCCACAACTATAGTAGAGGGTCTGCCCAGTAGCGCTCTCGCCCGAGGCGAGACAGAGCTATGTCCGACAGGGGGCGAGACATAGCTCCTTCATTGCAGACATGTGTTTTCCGCTGGCCCCCTCTTGTCTACAAATGGTTGAACTCCCATCATATATATGTTTACTCACTTAAAAAATATGTACCCTAAAAAGACTTGATAAAATATATAGTTCAAAAAGAACTTAATAAACATATTCATGCGAGTTCTAATAAACTTCACACACTTTTTAAAAGTGGCCACACGTATTTTAAAATACTTAGGTGTTGCGAACTGAGCGTACCACAGATGATTAGTTTCCTTATGGTGGAACTAGTCAACCAGGGTTGAAGTGACTCACATTTTTCTGGATTTATTTCAGACATTTCAGCAATGTTAATTCAATGGGAGGATACTTCCCGTTAAGTATGAGACGTCTATGGTGGCTTCATCAATCTCAGTGCCGGCTAAGTATCTCAAAGATGCTCATAGGGATAGGGGTTGCATGCGTGCGTTCATAGGTTGAGTGTATATAATTATCTGCGATTTTAGTGTGTTAAGAAAAGCTTAGGTGTTTCCGTGTTTGTGTTTGTGAGGGAAAATATTAAAAAACACAATATTAATTTAGGAAAAATAAAAAAGTAGATGGTGGTAAAAAAATGAAAAGAACCTTAAAGGGAAACGAAAAAAACAAACCAAGAGAAAAATAAACCGATAAAGGCAAGAAAATAAACATAAATGCCACATTTGAGCTCGCAGACCATTAGTAGCGGCTGTAGGCGATTCTCCTGCAGCGCTCACTACAGTTGGTAATAGCATTTCGGGAACCCCTTAGGCCTCGTTTGACAGAGGGGGATTTCCAGTCCCAAAGGGGGTGGAGATTTAAGAGGATTAGATGATCCCTCACTTCCTCAAATCCCCAAATCTTCCTCTAGCCAAAATCCCCTTTGTATAAAACATTTGTTTGGAAGGTAGGGTTTGCCATATTAAGATAAGATGGTGCAAAACATCTAAAAATATAATCTTTACAAGTAAAACAACATCAATGTCCAACGAAAACTTGTACAACACAACATATACAAAATGTTTGTAAAGCAACATTCATCAAACTGAATAAGAATCCGATAATTTCACTGTGCCAACATAACCGTCAACTGTTGTCATTCAACTTCTATGTACCCGAGAATTTGTACAAAAAAAGTGAATTAGCTTTGTCGCGATGCTTTCATCAGTCGGAACCAACTGAAATGAGAGAAGAATGTGTTCAGTCGTAGACTATTGTAAGATAATCAGTACTACCTATGTAAAGAAATATAAGACTTTCTTTATTTCTTTACATAGAGAGTACCAACCAACCCACTAGGCCACTACAATATGAGAATCGTCATTGTAAATCAACATAGGATTACTCGAACATTGCTTTGAATAAACCACGGTTTAGCCTTTTCACAAAAAAAACCCCACGGTTTAGCCATTTTTTCACACACTTCATGTGCACTTAAATGTTGCAAAGATGAATGTTAAGAACATACTTATCAAAAATTCATGTTGAGTAATCTTGGATCTTAACAGGTGCTCGAACTGACTACTGTCGTCTCGGGGCTACCTTCTAATACAAAAGACACACTTTTAGTTGGATGATCCAAACCTAAACTAGAAACAGATAATGGTTAACGCGTCTCTGTGGGTAATTGCTCTATTGGGTGATGGGGATGTGCCAACTTTAATGCCCACGGCGAAGCTGGTGTGTCAAATACGTTACCCGGCGCTCAAGACGGGGATGAGGATGTGATAGCATTACCGGTGCCCATTACTCGTCTTACCCGTGAAGGCCTTACACGTGGTCTCTAAAGTTAGTGGACCCTAGGTAATTCTCGCCCATACCCTCCAAATTTTACACCCATCACGTCTCTTAGGCCCAAAAGCCCAAAGAAATCCCTAACCTAGTGACGACATATTGTTTATTGTGCTGAAATGCTACTTTTGTTTTACTAAAATGCTATTGAAGGTTGTTGTTGATTGTGTATACGGGTTTCCCCACAGAGATGAAAACCCTGATGGTGATGGGAATGGGTACCTTTTTAATCTCGCGGCCGGGTACGGGACGGGGACGGGTATGGGGTGACTGTCACGGGGGACGGGGATGAGAGTTGAATACACGACACACATAATCACAATGAGAGAAAATGTAAAAAAACGCGTACTTTACTTGATATGCGCTACATACATGTGGAGCAAACTCTTATATCTGTCTAATGGCTCTAGTTTAGACTAAAAAGCACTTGGGAATTATTTGTTCATACGAATTTCCAAACCAATAAGCCCCCCTTATATCTGTCTATTGACTCTAATTAGATGTTTCGGTTCTATGTACTGTACGCACTCACATACTTATTATCTACTTGTGGATTAGATTAATTGAAAAGTACTAATATTTTCAGCATTTACCTAGCACACAAGACAACGACCCATACCCGTTACTCGTCTTACCCGTCAAGACCTTACACGTGGGCTCTAAAGGTAGTGGACCCTAGGTAATTCTCGCCCATACCCTCCCACTTTTACACCCATCATGCCTCTTTGGCCCCAAAAGCCCAAAAACACCCCTAACCTAGTGAAAACATATTATTTATTGTATTAAAATGTTGCTTTTCTTTTACTGAAATGCTAAGGTTGTTGTTGATTGCGTATATGGGTTTCCCATGGGTTGAAAATCCTGATGGGATGTGGATGAGAAACCTTTTATCCTCGTGGATGGGTACGGGGACGGGCAGGGACGATTCTAAGGGGGGACGAGGGGGGAGGGGCAAGGATCGAGTCGACCCTCGATAGCGATCAACGATTCCCTAATTTTTCTGCTTGCGTCCATGTACGTAACCCGCTTCGCCCCCCTATCCTCAGCCCATGTACTAGTACAGCCCATTAGATCTTTTTTAGGGGTACAACCCAGTAATCTGGGATTGGTTCATGCCTTTAAAAACTATAGAAGTATAATCGTACAAACTATAAGCATTAATCATCAATTATAACATTTTCGTTTATTTATTTGTGCTTGTGTAGACATGAAGAGTAAAAGAGCCAAATCCATTCATAATTATTAAAACCAGTTGGTTCAAGCACTCAACCATCAAAACATGATGCTATAGTACAATCTAGTAAAATGAAGCAGCCTAATCCTAACTAAGGCTAAAGATTTCCATTGATGCTATGAGGTAAGTAAGAATTATTTATTTTTCAATCATTTATAATTTCTTAATACATGATATCTAATAATTATTTTCTGTTGATTGCACCAGGTGGTTAATTTTCCAAGCATGCCCCTTTAGAGGAAATGGTGAATATGACGATTCAAAGAACCAAGGTAATAGCCCAAGCATAATTTAATTGATATGCAAGCTCCTAATAAAAAAATGTCACTAATAAAATTTGGTGAATCTAGATCTCTTATCACTGTAACAGGCTGGTTAATCCTGTTAAGAAATTAGTGGAAAGCGTGTTAACCTAATTTTTTTCTAGTGTCATTGTCTTCGCC